CAACAACCCCTTCTCCACACACGCAAAAAACAATAACAAACAAACAAAACAAACAGAACAAACAAAAAAAGAACAAAAGAAAAAAAAAAACCCAACGCAAACCAACCCCCCCGAAAACAAAACAAAACAAAAAAACCAACAAAACCCAACAACAAACCAACAAAAAAATAAAAACCATCAGGTGAACTTCTTTTAAGGATAGATAATGTGCCTCGTGCGACGTGCTTACTCCATAGAAACTACAGTCGAACCTGCTCTGACGGCAACCTATCCAAGACATTCACATGTACAAACAACCACATCGACCATTGTCATTTTCTACATTATTATTATTATTATTATTATTATTATTATTATTATTATTATTTTGATCATTATGACATTATCCAAAACATAGCCACATGTGAGAGCAATGTACCAGAAAGGCAAATTAAATAACACAGAGTAGGAAATGGATAGGATGAAGCTAAATATATTAGGCCTTTCAGAAGTTAGAGGGGAGGGGCAGGCTTGATTAAAAGAGGATCCAAAACAATTGTATACTCAGGAAGAAAAACACATGATAGAGGAGTCGGGATTTTATTTGACGAAGCAAAAACATAGAGCATCAACGGTTTTTGGGGAGTGTCAGATAGAGTCATACTGGCTAAATTAGAAGGAAAGCCTTTTGACGTAGGTGGCATCCAAATATATGCACCAACATCAGAGCACGACAACGAGGAAATTGAGACTTTTTATGAAGACCTTGATAACACAATGAAAGATTTTTAAAAATCACAAGATGCAAAGGTAGTTATGGGGGACTTAAATGCCAAAGTAGGAAGTACACATATAGAAGGTATAGTAGGGCCACGGAGACTGGGTAAAGAGAATGACCGCGGGGAACGACTGATAGAATCGTGCCTAGAAAATAATTTTATGATATCAAACACCTTTTGTGAAAGACGACGATACACTTGGAAGAGTCCTGGCGATAGAAGTAGAAATCAAATAGACTTCATACTTATTCAGAAACGTTTTAGAAATTCAATCCAACCGTCTAAATCATTGCCAGGACTGTGATAGTGACCATTTACCAGTCATGTGTAAAATGCAGAGAGACTGAAGAAACTTAAGAAGTCAAAGTATCAAGCAAAATGTGACTTAGATCTTTTAAAGACAAATCAAGAACTGAAAGAACGTTTTACCATACATGTAAGCAATAAATTTCAAGCTTTGGAAAACATTACTAAATCGGAAGAACTATGGAGAAAAATGAAAGACTTAATAATGGAAGCTGTGGAAGAAAATATCCTCCCGAAAGCTAAAAGAGCAAATAAAAAATGGATGACCCAGGACATATTAAAGCTAATGGAAGAGAGAAGAAAGGCAAAATCAAATGTGAAAAAGTACAGCATCTTTAACAGGGAAATAAAGAAAAAATGCAATGAAGCAAAAGAAACATGGATAAATGATCAGTGTCAACAAATAGAGAAGAATCAATACAAAGACAGCAAATACATGCATTCCAAAATCAAATAATAAAGTGGTATAAAGGATGCTCAAATGCAGGATGCATAAGATCAAAAGGAAGAGATATTTTAATGGACAAAGGGGATGTCTTAAACAGATGGTCAGAATACATAGAAGAACTTTTCAAAGATAATAGAGGAGAAAACCCGGTAATAAGAATGAAATAAATGGACCACCAATACTGAAAGCAGAAGTACAAGCTGCCTTTTGGAAGATGAAACAAGGAAAAGCCACATGGCCAGATAATATTCCAGTTGAAGTGATTGTTGCACTTGAAGAACTAGGCACTGAAACAACAACAAAGCTCCTAAATGCTATTTATGACAGCGGTGAGATCCCAGAAGATATGATGAAGTCAGTTTTTGTAGCTTTACCTAAAACACCAGGGGCCACTAAGTGTGATGTGCATAGAACAATTATCTTTATGAGTCATTTTACAAAAATATTGCTGCGAGTAATAATGGAAAGACTGAGAGAAAAAAATGTAAGACTAGAGATATCAAAAACGCAATTCGGCTTTGTTTCTGACAAAGGCACCAGAAATGCCATATTCACCTTAACAATGTTAATGGAAAGATGTGTTGAAGCCCAGAATGGTCTGTATTTATGCTTCATATATTATTCAAAGGCGTTCGATAAAGTTAGACATGATGAGCTATTTAAAATGCTGGAAAAGCTAGTCATAGATGCTAAAGATCTAAGAATTATCAGGAATTTTTACTGGGACACAAATGCTGTTGTACGAATTAATGGAGAATACAGTGAATATAAGCAGATTAGGAGAGGAGTGGGGCAAGGATGTGTTATATCACTAGACCTCTTTAACATGTACAGTGAAACAATCCTTAGAAACATAAAAGAATGTCAAGGTTCCAAAGTAAACGGAGAAAATATTAATAGCATCAGGTATGCAGATGACACAGTTTCAATAACAGGCTAAAAAAATGACCTTCAATTGCTTGTAGATACTGTTGCAACAG